TGGATGGGCATTGTGCCCAGGGGGGCAGTGTTGGTGAGAGACCTGCATGTGCCTTTCCCAGAGTCTGTCTGGGTGGGCTCAGCCTTTGGTCTGGCAAACCACAGCCCCTTTCAGCCTGACTCCTTCCAGCCATCCCTTGTGCTGCTGGCTGTGCAGCACTGCTCTGCTCCTGTACCTTGCTGAGGATTTTATCTGATGGCCTTTTGGAATGTGTTAAGAAATTGCTGAAATGCTCCCAGGATCCTGGAGTTTTAGGCTGCCTGCTGGTTCTTTACCTGAGCCCACTGAAAGTGCTGTGACTCTGTGGCTTGGAGGCTGAGCATTGTTCTGTCTCATGCAATGGTTATCTTGATTCTGCATCAGCTGATGGTTCCAGGCCACATCCCTGCTCATTAATCCAGGAGTGCCTGCTGCTGTCTTTGCTTGCACAACAGCCGGGAGCTGGATGCGTCCTCTGTGTGCTGCACAACAAGGACCCGCTGCAACAGCAGAGCTGGACAAGATTTTATGACATTTAAGAAGGATTTTCTTGTGATTTCTCTTTGTCTCCATCCCCACATTTCTGAGGTTTTGGTTGGCTCTAGGTGTTCCTCCAATAACACCCTGTAAACCTGGACAGCTATTGAAAACTGACTGCCTAATGACTAAAAAAATTAATTCCTTGTTTTAAAGCATTTAAACAGAGTGGGAAGCTGCACATATGTATGAGTTTGGTTAGGTGTATTTTTGTTGCCCTGGGGCTCCTTGTGTGTGCTTTGTGGGCTCTGTGTGCTGCTGTCCTGCCTGTGCTGTCTCCTGCCATCCCTGCAGTTCCTCCCACAGCTCTGTGCTGCTCCTTTGCTGGCTCCCTCACCCACCATGGGTGCTGTGCACCCAGCCAGGGGCTCATGGCCACACCAGGATCCCACTGGGGCACAGCCCCTGGCCCTGGCCACCCCTTCCTCCCTTCCTTCCTCATGGAGCAGGGTTGGTGCTCCCAGGGAAGGGGAATGTGCTGCCCCTGCTTGTTGCATCTTCAGGAAACTCAATGTGTGTGACTGCAGCTGTGCAGTTGGATGGAAGAGCTGAAGCTTTTGATAATCATGGGTTTTGCTTTTCCTTATTTTCCAAAATCTAATTACCAATATCTAATTTTTTGTTGTTGTTGTGACTTGATAGGTTCCTTTTTTAACTTGATACAGTTAATAAACATAAAGTGATGTCAAATTGTCTGCTTATGCAGAATATTCCAGTGCAGAAGGCTTTTCCCACTGGTTTTACTCTAAACAGTAAAACCCCCACCCCGTGGGGCTGATTTGTGTGATTTATACTGTCTTTGTGTACAGCTACATCTAGACTGGAATTTTTGATTTTTTTCTTTTGTGCCTGATTTTTGGTGGCTTCTCTAAATTTAGAACCCTTTTTTTTACAGCATTAAAAAACCTTAAAGTGAAAAGTATGTAATGTGTTAATTAGGGACTTTGGGAGGGAAACTCCTAATCTTTTGCAAGGCAATTCTGTTGAAAGGGGAGTAAGGGACTTCAAGAACTTCAATTAAACATGTACATCTTCTGAAAGATCCACAGTAATTGAGAGCTGAGAACAGAGTGTTGGTTAATGGGATCTCTGGGTCACACACTAAGCCTTAGAAGTCTGATGCTGCACAGCTTGTCTCTAGAGACAGGGCAGGAAAAGCTGGGGCCTGTTTTGCTCTCTGACAAGAAATCTCCCAGATGAATTGCAAGGAATACTATCTTTGCACAGCTACTTTTTTTTCCCCCCAAAAATACATTTTTGGGAATGTACAAAAATACATTTTTACATTTATTATGTTAATGGCTCAGCTGCTGTTCCTTTGCTTCAGCTTTGAAGGCTAAACACTATATATATACACAATTTCTGAAATGATGGATTCCTCCTATGCTGTGTCATTGTGTGTTGCTGTGTCCCCAGAGCCACCAGGGTGTTGGTTTGCCCTGCTCTGCTGGCTCTGTGGGAATGTTTGGGGATGCTCCCTTGCTCCAGGGTGCTGTGGCAGCTCCTGGTGTGGGTGACCCACCCCTGTGCAGACACTGCAAACGTGGGATGAATGCAAGAGCCATTTCTGTGCCAACAGCTGGGTAGTTTATTTATGGAGACTCATACATCCAGGAGAGTTTCTTGCAGTCTGAGCACTTGAGGTTTTTCAAATCAGACATTCTACAGTTGGTGAGAAGGGTAATTTTTATGAAATTACCTGTTTCTGTGTCTGTGAATGTTGAGGCTTATTAATCTTGCTTTGGAAATGCTCTAAAAATTCTAACTTTATCTACAGCCTTAATTGCTGCCCATTAAAACCTCTCTGATCCAGACTGAGTAGCAATGGAGATGGATGGAAGAATGATTTGCTGAAAGGGCTTCAGGCATTGTGGAAGGCATCAGGTCACTGCAGTACATTAAGAAAAGCTAATCTAAAGATAGGAGTTACTTTAAAATTAGAGATTGAATAAATTTCTGGGAATGTTAGAAGATGTTAACACAAATAATGGATTTTTCTGCACTGGGGTTAGCATGAGAATAAAAAGGGAAGGCACTTGACACAGCACTGTACTCTGCCTTCTGCAGAAGCAGTGGGTGTAGATAGTAAATGTGAGCTCACTGCAGTCTGAAGGTGCATGGAGGAGGCTTGCTGTACCTACAGTGCTTTGGGATCACAACAAGTGCAAACATCACTTTATTACCATGCACTGCCAAGCACCAAGTGGAGCAATCCTGTGGCGCTCTGAGTGCCTGACATGTGGCTGTGGCATCCTGTCACAGACAGGCTCTGTTTGTCCCCTGCCACACACAGGCTGTCACAGCTGCTGGTGTAGAGTTTAAAAAAAGGTGTTAAAAATCCAACCAAATGTGTGTGTGATTTCTGATAGAAAAGGAATGGAAGAAAAAAAAAAAGAAAGGTTTTAAGAATCAGAATGTGGAATGACTTGGACCTGGAAATATTTTTTTAGCTCCACATTTCTTTTAGAACCTGATAAACATGCTTTCCCCCACAAAACAGTTACTGGAATCAGAGGGTTTTATCCCTCATCCCATGAGGTTGCAAGTATAAAAGCATTACCTTAGGGATGTCTCTGATCCTCTCTGAGCTAAAGCACACATAATTCCCAATACCATAGGGATTAATGCTTAAGTGAGGAGTTAGTGGTGCCAGCAGAGAGCTTTCTGTGGGGCCAGGTTAAGTGTCACCAGATACAGTTCCAGGATCTCAGACAGGAGCATTGGAGCTGCTAATTGCACTGGGGGTGTTTTCTAAGTGGCAGATGAGAGTTGAGACACTCAGACTGATTGCTCTGTCACACAGCCAGGCATAGAGCTGTTATCCTAAAGGGATGCCAGTAACTCATCTGTGGCCTCTGCGACTGAGAGATGGGGAAACACCTCTCTGACCCTGGCATTTCCAAAAATGGTGACTCATCTTTTCTGTTCATTGGTGCACAAATCAATTCAAGTTGTGGGATTTTTTATGGTACTTGAATGGATGCAAGTTCTTTCCATCTTGCTTTTGTCATCTCCGTGCAGTTTGCCTCATCTCTGCACTAAAAGCAGATGAAGAGACTGGAGCTTCTAATGGCTTTTGCAGTGAGTCACAAATGCATGTCTAGACTCCTTAGACAATTTTAATGTATTCTCACTAGCATGTAGGGTGAGAGTTTCTCTTTAGTAAACTAGTTACACAGCCAGCTCCAAGCATAAGTTTTCCTACTTGGTGAGTTTCACAAGCTTATGTCAAAGCTGTATCTTAACTTGGTGTGTCTGTGCTGAAACCTTCATGGTCCCTCCTCAGTTCCCTTATTTAGGAAGTTCTTTCATCTTGTATTTACACAGCCAATGTACATATTTTTAATTTTTTGGGGAGGATGGAGTGAGACTAGATTGGCTCCTTAGCTCTTCCCCTGAATCAAAAGTCCTATCTGTCTATCTTCCTATTTTCTCAAGTGACAGGTGTAGCTACAAAATGTGATTCACTTGCCTGTTGCTCCTGCTAAGAGTGTGAGGTTTCTTTGTGGTGTCCTAGTCCCAAATGGCAGCAGCAGCAACAAGCCATTTCTAGACACATTCAACAAGTGGTCAAATCATGGCCAAAGCAATGTGTGCTGCTGTGTGGCTTCCTAGCTCTGCAGGGCTGGGTGTCACCTTTTGGAAGAGAGAAACATGTTAGGTGGGGTACATCTAATGAAATAATCTAGCTACCAAATCCAGACACCGAATGAAATTTCATGCAGAATAAAATTAATAAATGAAGTGCTAAAGTGTTGCTGTTTGCAATGTATCTACTGATAATGCTTAAAAAGACAGCCTTGTGGTTGTTACTTAAAATGTTGGAGTGAAAATCTGGTGGTGACAGGTGCAGCTCTCTTCTCTGCCCACTCAGAGCCTTGTGTTGCCCTGACCCTGCTCTGCAGCTGTGCTTGCTGAGCCCAGGCCCAGGCAGGAGCTGAATCTTCCAGCTGTGGCACCTCTGTGTGGGGTGATCCTGTGAATCCCCCCAGGTCAGGGCTGGAGGCGCCTGGAAAAATTCAGTGTTGAGGACTGCTGTCAGCAGCACCTGGCAGCAAATTGCAGGGACTATAATGAGGCAAATTTTAAATGAAGTAGTTCAGTAATTGCAGTTTAAATTTTTCAACTCAAGATGAATTTCCAGTGAAAGCAGTGGTGGCTTTGTCTACTGATGTTGAAATTTCAAACTTAGCATGTCAATACCTTTTATGAAATACACCTGATTACCCTGGAGGAAAGGCTGATCCCATCTCTTAGAAGTCTTTGTCCTCGTGACTGCTGCCTTAGTCTGAATGGATTTCTGCTCTGCAGGAAATGTGGTTGTGCTATCACCACAGCCTTCATTCTAGTGCAGAAGTTGAACTTCATTTCTTGACACTTCCTATAACAAACTCCTTGGTTTAAGGACTGGGAACTGTATAATATTTTAAGTGCTTGTTATATTTTTCTACTTCACTAAAACAATAACATTCTCTCATTTCCAGGGTTGCACACAGAAGTATATTGTGAAGAACTACTTCTACTACTACTTGTTCAAGTTTTCAGCTGCTTTGGGTGAAGAGATTTTTTATATCACTTTCCTTCCATTTACCTACTGGAATATAGATCACTCTGTGTCTAGAAGAATGATAATTGTTTGGTCTGTAAGTATTTCTATGATTAATTTCAACTTTAATTCTGTATTCATAGCAATTTAATATTTAAGAACAAGAACAATCCTCCAAATGAACAAAATCCCTTCAAACCAAAGAAGCATCAACACTATTCATGTGCAGCTCATGTTTAGGAAGAAAAGGCATTGCAATAATGAGAGAGGAGGCGAGAGGCATCATCTGACTCAGGGTTTCTTCACCTCTGCCACATCTTGGGCTGACTTTTTTTCAGCACAATCACTGACTGAGCTGCTTTTGATATAGTTTGCACAGAATAGTTGGGAAAACACTTCCTTCCCAGAGCATCATAGTATTTCAAGTTTTTCATCACTTTAGGAAATCTTTCTCTTATTCTCATTTTTTCTGTGTAATTTTATATGGTTCTGGCTTGGCTGAAGTTACTATAAACCTGATAGTAAAGGGATATGCAGGCTGCAGTGGAATAAGCAGGGTGTTTCTGCAGTCACTTGAGGGTGGAAAGATCAGATGGTCTGTTGAAGTCTAAGGCTTGAAAGCATTGATTTTTATTAATAGATAGCATTCACAAATTAACTGACTTCAGCATTGCTTCAGCATGGGTTTGGGGTATCCAGAATAATGCATTTCCATTGTAGTACTGAAAAACAGGAGATAACCAGGTACTTCAGGCCAGCACTGGCTGTTTTGTCACTGCCATTGCTCATCTTGTTATTCAGATATTGCTGCCCAAATAAAACCATTTTAGAATAGAGAAGGGAGGTAGAGAACACCTCTGCTAGGTGTCAGAGCCTGGAGGTTTTACTATCAATCTACACTGACTTAAGAAACTGAATCTTGGTAAAAACTTAAATATGATATCCAAGTTTATCTATTTACAGTGAAGCTTCTCCGTGATCTAGTCAATTCTGGTTAATAATATTTTGTCTTTTGACCAAATAATATCATAAAAAAATAATAAAAACAACTTGAATTGAGTCATACACTTCAAATACACCTGGTCTTGGACAGAATACATCAGTTGCTCTGTGCCAATAACTTTAGTCAGTACATTTTATAAAGAGAACATGAAAAATAACTTGCAGATGAAATTTAGAAGTAGGTGGACACAGTATAACTAGAGTTGGGTTTTGGCCAGGTGTACACCTACAGCTTCTGGAAACGTGCCACAGAAGATGAAAATTGGTAGTCACTGCCTTCTGGGTTTGCATATTGCTCCAAAAATGAGCCTTTGGAGTACTTTACATGGATTTCTCTAGATTTGCTTTGTCTTTTCCTTGCAAGGAGTTCATCTGGGTATTAGTCAGATCTAGTCTGACTTAGAGTATTCAAGCATCTGATATGATGATAATTAATATTATTTTTCATTTACTGAGTTGTGGAGCTGCACTTTATACTGAAAAGGGGAAACTGTTGCAAGCACCATGCATTTAAAACAATCTGTATTTTTAAAAGATTAATTGTATGTAACTGTGAAATGGCTAAAAATGTCCTTGCAGGCCATGTGCTAATGCTGTGGCATGCTCAGCTGGGAGGGTCTCTGCAGGTGAGCAGGGAGTGGCACTCACAGTGCTGCTCTGGTCTAACAGCCATAAAATCATACAATGGCTTGGCTTGGAAAGCACCTTAAAAATCACCTGTTTCCATGCCCCTGCTGTGGGCAGGGACACCTTCCACCAGACCAGGCTGCCCCAAGCCCTGTCCAGCCTGGCCTCAGATGTCTTGGTCATGGATGTGACATTTGTCACAGCTGCAAGGGAAACACCAAGGTGTCAGTGGGACAGAGCTGTGCTTTTAACTGAATTGGAGGTTTTTGGTGATGGAATTTTGAAGAAATGTTTCTGAATGCATGATGATGTGTGGCTAAGAACTGTGTTAGATGACAGTAAAAATCCAGGCAGCCTGACAGCTCTGACAACAGCTATGAGTGGAGGGCTGGGAAGAGCATGGAGGGATAATTGCAGGACCCAGGCATGTCCTGCAGACGGCTCTTCTCCATCTGGGGAAAGGGGCTGGTATCAAAGGAGAGCCCCAAGGGAAAGGCAGGAGCAGTTCTCCTTTAAAGGGGGTGCTGATGATGAGGAGAGGTTGTTCGTGAAGCTCCTCAGCAGGGAGAGAGAGTGGACCAGCAATGGCTTTTTCAAGAGCCTGGGACAAAGCACGTGGGTATGCTGGGAACATGGCTGGCAAGGATGATGGTGACACAGAGGGTGACACCGCTGGCCAGGAGAAGTGGCTCTGGAGCATGAGGGTGCTGAGGGTGGTACTTTTGGGCTGTTTCCCACTTAAACTGTGAGTTTCTGCTGCAAGTGGGAAATGACAATGTTGGTCAGGATGAATCATGGGAGTTTCTTCCCTTAAAAATTAAAGCAGCATTAATGGTGTTTACAAAGACTTCCTGCCATCTTATCTGTAATAGTTTATGCAGAGCCAGTCACCCCCTTTTGAGAAAGATAATTTCAAATTGGAGCAGGGCCAGGGATGATTAAAGAACACACTGTTTTCTGAGCAGAGACTGAAAACTTAGATAAATCCCGAGCAAAATGAAGTTGGAGAGAAAATGGGGCTGGCTGCAAAAACCATGGGAAGGAAGGAGCTTCTTAAAATAAAACTACAGTCACAAGAAGAAACACGCATAAGGCAGTCATAAATAATTTCACTTGAAGCCAAAGGTTGTGAAATAGCTCTAGAAGGGTGAAGGGCAGAAAGAAAAATTATAAAGAGTTTATTTCAGCAGCAGCAGAGGAGTGGACTTGGAACCCAGAAATGTCTTCTCCTGCCCTGGGTCCCCAGAGCCAGCTGCTTGTGCTTTTCTGTTCAGGTGGATGGCTGTGGGAAATGCTGGTTTTGCATCCAGATGCTTTGGCAGCCTAAAGCAGCATGTTGTGCTTCCATGGGGCCTCGCCCCTGAGGATTCAGGGTATATATGCAGGCTTTGGCTTTACCTTTGTGAACAGATGGAGGAAATAACTGCATGAAACCTCTGAGCAAGGTGCTGAGTCAGTAGTGAAGGTCCCCTGGTGTCTTTGCTTCTCTTCTCCAGCAATTTGAGGTAAACACTCTTGAAACTGCACAGGCAAGGCTTTGATGCCTGTGACTCTTGCAATTTCAGCCAGGAAGTGCAGAGATGAGAAACAGCTTCACACAGTCCCCAAATGTACTTTAAATTTACTGCACATCTCAGCTCAAGAGGTGAAAGCTCACTTTATTTCTGTTTGTTTGTTTTTTACTTTTTGTACTGCTTCAAGTTTGAAATCTTTATTTTGGTGTGGAATTTCAAGGGCAGAGACCTGGAAAAAATACTTACTGTTTCAGTTTGCTCTTCAACATGTCTGGAAATCTCTTTTTCTGTGTTTTTTCCTCAGGCCACACCCCTTCATAGCCTATAAAACTTTAATTTATGCAATGTAAATATGAGCTGGCCAGCAAGGACTTTGTTGGGGCAGGTGTGGGAGCTTTTGGCATGTGACAGTGATAAGTGCTGACTCAGGGCTAGGTGGCACCTTGAAGGGAGGCAGGGTTTGGGTGTTTGGTGATGCCAGGCTGTGTGCGCCCCCCTCGGGGCTCCCTGAGCAGCACTGGGTGCGACATCTGCAGCAATCTGAGCAGGCTCTGGGTCTGAATCCATAGCAGTTCAGCTTTCCATCTTGCTTTTCTGAGGAACAGTTTTCTAAAGGCTGTCAGCGCTTGGTTACTCAGCAGTGAGGAGCCCTGAACTCCCTCTCAGGGTAACCAGGAGTTTCCTCACCAGCAGGAGTTCACCTGCAATTGTGATGCCACTGATATTGCTGTGCAGTGATTGAAAACACCCTTGGAAGCAAACTTTGGGTTTAACAATTCTTATGTTTGTTAGTTTTAGTACCTTTGCAACACTTCACTGAAACAAGCCTAGAGCTGCTGACAAACACAGTCACTTGAAAGCCAAGCTCCAAATATTGCACAGCACAAGAACATGTAAAACTGTATTCAGGCACATGAGTAACTACATGTCAGCATACAAAAATAAATGGTGTGTGCAAGTTGATAAAGTGTTGATTGAAAGGGAATTTTGCAAGAGCTGGCAGCTGTACTCCACCCTTGAAGAAAAAGTGCCAATAAGGCTTTCATAACTGAGACAAGCTCTGAATCATTTAAGGTGAAGTTTCAACTGGAAACCTTTTGTATTTCAATAGAACTTCTAGGTGTAACAGTTTACAGCTTTAGATGTTAGATGACAAACCAGATCAATGTGACAGTACTTTTCCCTGCTGCCAGGAGCCTGGACCCAAATTTCCCTCTCTAAGCCTATTATAAGACAGTCAACTACCTTATAGATTTTGTCTAAAGGCTTCTTTTAAAGACAGAATGAATGTGTGAGGGTGTTGGCTGGTTGTGCTTCTGGAGGCTCAAGGTTCTGCTAATCTGGTTCTGGTTTTGTGTTTCTGGAGCCTGAATTAAGACAAAGTCCTCCTTCCTTTTATATATATAGATATAGAACTTTTTTGGAAGCTGCCCATGCAGTGTCTTCCCTGTCCCCCTGCCTCCTGCTGCTCTGTGCTGTGAATGCTGTGTTGCTTGGTGGGCCGGAGACCTGCCTGTTGGATTTGCTGTTGCCATGGTGGCTGGGACAGCCCAAGGGTTTGAGCATCGCACCAGCTGAATGTGACCTTGAATGTCCCATGGGCCCTGGCCAAACCCCTGGGAAACGCAAAGCTCCTGTGCAGCCAGCTCAAGGTTGATGTATTTTCTGGGAAGCAATACCCACACTGGAAATGGTGCTGGAGCTCCAGGAGAGCCAGCTGCCCTCTGCCAAGGTGCTGGAGCTCTAGGAGAACCAGCTGCCCTCTGCCAAGGTGTGTGGGGCTCCAGGAGAGCCAGCTGCCCTCTCCCAGGGTGTGTGGGTCTCCAGGAGAGCCAGCTGCCCTCTCCCAGGATGTGTGGAGCTCCAGGAGAGCCAGCTGCCCTCTCTCAGGGTGTGTGGAGCTCCAGGAGAGCCAGCTGCCCTCTCCCAGGGTGTGTGGAGCTCCAGGAGAGCC